ACTTGCTCTCAAAAAGATCATTCAGAGGCTAGGACCATTAGTTATTGTCTTTTACTTGCATTTCTTCAGATCCTTACCCTTTTTCTATACACCAGCAATCTTCTGTCTCTACAGTGTTGGATTGACAAATAAAACATGAGCATACTTATGGCTTTATACCTTTTCCATGGATGCTTCCAAAAGAAGAGCATACAAATATCTCTTTTCCTTTATTGAGTTCTAAATAGAATGGTAGAAAATTATTATATAGAATATACTTCTCTTCTCCCCACTGCCTTTTCTATAAATGAGTAAACCACACTAGAGAAGCTATCTGAGGTTATGAACTGTAATCATCCTTACCGAGGGTCTATAGCCTCGATAATTACCAATTGCTGATTAAAGTTGCATTCCTTTAGTAGTGTGCATTGAGGCTAGGCATTGACTTGATTTAAGAGTTGAATTGTAGCTATTTATGTAGTTTACTGATACTGTTTCAATGCCTAAAATATGGCTTAAATTTCATTTCTTCGCCTTCAGAACTGGCTGCTGATAGCTGAACCAAGAGATACTTGTTGGTAATGGATAAATATTCTGATGATGCTCAAGATAGGCTTTATGCTGCAGAAGCACCTTTTAGCAAACTCTTCTCGCTTGAGGACGAGGGATTCTCGAGTAAAGGAAATGACATGCAAGAAATGGAGATAGCCCAGCTAGCTTTAACAGAAATAGACTTCCGATTAGCCTATTCTTCCGAGAAGCTGGTGAACTTGCATGTACTTTATATTTATCTGTTGGCCCAGGAAAATGATCTTGAAGCAACGGATTCAAAGAATAGTGGCATCTTGACTAACTTTTTTGAGAAGGCAATGACATTTGATCTATTGTCTGGCATTTTAGATTCTGAGGTAAGAGAGCTGGACAATTTCATGGACACTCTCCAAGAAGAAATTGTTGATGCTCGTCATAAAATATTTTCATGCAGACACTTCACTGAGGTTTTCTTTATGATGGGGAAAAAATTGCATGACTCTGAAGAGTCTGTGAAGCAATTTCAACAGCAGCTATTGGAGTTGAAGATACAATCATCTCAGCTACAGAAAGTCCTTGTGGCTTTTCAAGATGAGAGTTGTAAGTTGAAATTTTGCTTAAACTATTTCTTTGTTAAAAAAAACTTATGATCTGGATGCAGTTCTTTTTCAAAATTTTGGATGAGTGTTTACCTTTCTTAGTCATCCATGTACACAGGGGAAATAGGGAAGGCCTTGAATTTATCAGAAAATGATCAATTGGTGGATATGAAATCAAAATCCAATCATCAGTTGGTTGAAAACCGAAGATATATTCTACGAATGCTTGAGAAGTCCCTTTCAAGGGAGCTAGAACTCGAAAAGAAGTTAGCAGAGTTGAGAAAAAATGAAGAGCTGAAGTTGAAACTCCACTACACAGAACAAGTAGCATTTCATATGGAAGAAGCAGCCGAAGTTATTTGGGGAAGATTTCTAGAGGCAGACAACGCTGCAGAGGTGCTAATGGGAATTTCTAAAGGTCTAATAGGACGCGTCCAAATTACTGAGTTCAACCTCAATGGTTCAATTCAGCGAGAAAATGACCTGAATTCAAAAGTTCAAACTTTAATAGAACTACTCAAGACTAAAGATGCGGCTTTGGAGAAGCTTGAGAGAAGTCATATTCAGAACACTAAGGAAAATTCGGCTGAAGTGTTGGCATTGAGGAAAAAGGTGCTATTTCTTGAAGAAGAACGAAAAGATTTTGAGTTTCGGTTAAATGCTGTGATTGAAGAGAATGATTCTTCTCATGAACAACTTATTGAAATGGAAAATTTTGTTGAGTCTCTGAAAGAAAACATTGACATAGCAGAAAATCGAGCTGAGAGTGCAGAAGCAAAGATTACACAATTAAGTGAGACCAACTTGGAACTTACTGAAGAGCTGAACTTTCTTAAAGGGAGTGCTAGTACTGCAGAGAAAAAGGTTGGTTCACTTGAGAAGCAACTAAGGGAATTAGATCTCCAACTACAGAATGCAAAGGTATCTTCTGAAGCAAGTCAAGAACAGCAGAACATGTTATACTCAGCAATATGGGATATGGAAATATTAATTGAAGAGTTAAAATCCAAGGTTGCAAAAGCTGAAAGTTATAAGGAAAATGCAGAAGAGAAATTCACAATTGTATCGAAAACTAATGTCAAACTTAATAAAGAATTGGATCTCCTGAGGTCCAAAATGGTCAGCCTGAAAACATCTTTGGATCATGCTACCAACTCAAAAATATCTAGTGCAAAAGAAATTAATACCAGATCCAAGGTTATCATGGATATGGTAATGCAACTAGCCACTGATAGGGAGCGCATTAATAAACAGGTAATGGCTTTTAACTTTTTTTACCTGCATTTCAAGTATCATGATAGTTGGATACCCAAAGTAACATGATAGTTTCTAAGTATCATTGCCTTTGCTGGTTTTTTTTTTAAATTCATGGGATTATTCTACTGTGGCCAAACAATGGTATTCTAACAGGATATTATGATTCATACTATCCTTATTCATGCAGCTAGATGCTTTGAAAAGGGAAAATAAAAGTTTGGAAGAGAAATTAAAGGATACTAAAATTGGTACCCCTCTAAATGCATGCAATAATGGAATAAATAACAGAAATGAAGACCAAGCTTCAAACATTGACTCAAGCAATGGTAGCTGTGCAAAGTCATCTGATGAAGAAGGAACAGATACCTGTAATAAAACCTTTCAGGCAGGTACTTTTGTTGTCTATATAATATTTTTTACATGATGATATGCATATTAATGTTGTTGTTAGGTGAAAGCTGGTTGTTACATGTAATGTCTCTCAGTGACTCTGCCCATGGGATAAATGTTAATATAATTATACATAACTAGTCACTAGTGTCTTCACAAGCATTCACATACATCTCAACCCAAAAACATTAAAACCTCAAATAACTATCTCACTAACATTGTTGAATCCCTTCAAAGTAACTATAATCTAAATAGTTACGTAATAACTGGTTTGCCATAGACTGATAGAATTGATGCATGCATATAAACTCTCTTGGTTTCTACGGTTTTCTTTAAAGTTTTTATTTTTTAAAGGAAGAAATTGGACAGATATAAATAGTTTTTATATCTGTGGAGACATTACAAATTGGAAAATTTATTTGAAGTCAGTGGAAAACTGAAATATTGGACCTTGGCATTGATAGAATAAAAAGGCATTTTTGAGGTTCACATTTTACATTCCTTAACATTTATTTCTTAGATCCTAAACCTGCCCTCTTATTTGGTTTATATTAGTAGGTGGGTGAGCCATCAGAAGGGGCAAGCTCTGAAACTCAATCAGGATCATCTATATCAGCAAATAAGTCTGCAAATTGGAGAAAGTTGATATTTCTTTTGGTGACAATGATTGTCCCACTGGTTTCTGTGTTAGCTTTATGCTTGTTTGACAAAGAAACGTTTTCCTTTCTGAGAACTTTTGATTACTAAATTACTACCTAAGTTATAGAAAAATTGTTGTTTGTGCAGTTGTGCTTCCTTCATATCCATTGTCTTCTGTATTGTATATATTCTTCATTCATGTGGTCTTAAAGTGAGTGTAAGCTAATTTTAATATTAAAATTTTAGATTGAAGATTGTTGGATCATGTTGTGCATAATAGATCAAGACTATGTGTTTAATAATGGTGCAAATGATAAAGATATATTCTTGAGAGAAGCATTAAATCATGAAAAAGGGTAAGAAGAGAAATCCGAGTAAGTGGAGTTTGATAGTATGTTAGGTTAGTTTTTGACAGTGTAGATCCAATACATGAGGGAGCTATCAAAGTAAAGTAAGATATATAACTTTCATGTGTGACATAAAAGTTTTAGGTACTATATACATGTAACAACTTCACCTTATATAACGGTAATCGGATATAAGTTCCCACAAAAGTGTGTCACTCTATATATTATTAATTATACTTTGCTTACAAATATATTTAAGTTAAAAATTTATCTGACCAATTATAATTTTTCACATGAATATATTTTGTGGAATAGATCATATCTAATGTTGTATGTTTAACATCACAAGGTCTGTTTGATTAGCCAAAACATACATTGTGAATGTAAATAGTTATATACAATAAATATATCATTCCTTATTCATTTGAATTACTTTAAAAAAAATTAAATTCTTTTTATGAATATAATATATATGTATTGTGAATGTAAATAGTTATACACAATAATATATCATTTCTTATTCATTTGAATTACTTTTAAAAAAGTTTAAATATGAATGGTGAGTACCACAGTAATAATATATGAAACTCATACACTCTCAATGATACACTTTTTTTCTTATTTTATATTTTCATTAATAATTGATTAATTATAAGTATGTCAAAACCTCTATGTGCTTAAGTACAAATATATGAAAACAAGGAAATAGAACGAGAGGAACATAACATATACAGTTTAATATCTATATATTAATATTTTACACAATTAATTTATCATTCAACACTCATGTGTATTATATGAGGAAAAATGTATATACTAATAGTGTAAGAGTTTTATATATTGTCAGTCTATCATCCACTATTTATTTTTTAATTATTATTGATTCTTCAAAAAAGTAATACAAATGAATAAAGGATGATGTACGTTTAAATATTTGCACCATAGATATTACAATGTAAATGCAATATATATTTTCTCTTATATTTATACCGAAGGTATTAAATATTAATACTAAATTATGTAATTTTTAATACAAACAATGAAGGTGTGAATGAAAACAGTAAATGAAAAATAGAACTTTTTAAAGGGTTTAGTTGGTTTGGTTTTGGGCCGTAACCCACTTTGATATTTCTCCTTGTTTTCATACCCAATTTTTTAACGGAACCCTAATTGGAACCCCAAGCATCTTATATATAAATGCCACTGCTTATGCAAAAGTATAGCTGCCTCTTTCTCTATTATTTGTTTCTTTTTTTCCCTACAATTTTGATCCCATAATTAATTGAGAATGATGCACTACGTAGCCCCTTGCAATTTAAAGTATAGTTGCAAGGAAATTACGAGATAAGGTTATCAAGGTGCAAAATTTAGTCTAGGCAATTCAATTTTATGCTTTTGGGCGACGAACCCAGAAATTTTTCTCGCCCAATTTGCTATTTTTTTCTTTTTGGTTGCCAAATAATCTATTTATACATTTATTTGTTTGTTAATATTGAATGAGCAAAGCAAAATGATGATTTCATTTTGTGTCCGAAACTGATGTGGAACTATGTTTTATACATGCCTTCAAAGTTCTCTGATTGCTTTGCTCTTTTATGTTGTTGTACTTTAATTTTGCTTTGGTGTTGTTGTTGTACTTTGCTATATGTATTTTTTTAACCTTGTTTCATGTTATTCGGTTACTAGGTATCTAATCAAAACTATTATTTGGGTGGTTTCGAAAAGATTTATTTTGATCTAGTTTCTCTTTTGAATATCTGAAAGCAGAGCAAAATGATGAGGTCTTAATATCTGAATTTCATGTTGAATCCTTATTTCAAATGGTCTTCAAAGTTCTCTGATTGCTTTGCTGGTGTTATCATTAGTCATTGTCATTTTAACCATAATTGTTTCATTTGCCAATATGTTAGGGCTCAAGTAATATAAACCACCTTCACTATTAGTATAGAATCTCATAGGTTACAATTCTTGCTGTTGGAAAATTATTATTCTAAAACATTGAATGATATAATAAGCTCTTCTAGTCTTCTAAAAATGAAGACATGTATCACTAATATACTGGATTGAACTGTAATGTAAAGGTGAATCAAAATGGGAAGTTTTCATGATTCATCACTGGATGTGATAGAACTAATCATTGGATGATTCTTCTAAAGGTTGATCCTCCGAGAGTTATGTCATTCTTTCAAAATAAAAGGATATTCATATTTGAATACAATTGCAGAAATATTTATAGAACAAATATTTATTTATAGATCAAGAGCAAGTGAAATTAATACCAACAAGAAAACTTGAGAAATGGAACAATGTTAGTAAAACTGTAAAAGGCTTCAAGCCATTTAAGAATTTAATTGATCTGAAAAATATATTGTAATAGAGCCCTCTAAAAATATATATATATCTCTAAAAAACATATTAAACTAGAAAAATATATTGTGAAAAATAGTTTTTTTTGTGAAGAGTCCTTTAGGGGAGAACACTTTAGGCATTTCAGAAATTTCTTAGTTTCTTTTTTATATACACCAAAAATTTATAATTTATGTTTCGGAAGGAAATGGTCAAGAGGGGGAGGAAATGAAAGGAAAATGAAGACATTTCTCTCCCAAGTTTGAAAGTATGAAATTTAAATGATGCAGTGTAAATTAATAATGTTAGAATATTTTTTCCCATTAAAAGTGTAATTAACAATGAAAAATAGACAATAATAATTATATAATTTTATTAAAAATATTTTTATATTTTGTCTCTGAAAAATCGGACACAACTATAAAAATAAAGATATAGAAAATTACTTGATGTTTGATAAATTCTACAAAACCTTCATTCTTACATCCAACTCCACAAACAAATGGGAAGTTTCCTAAAGTGATTTCTTCTCTTCCCTTCTAAAATTATTTCGTCATACACCACAATAACCATATTTCAAAATTTTCTTGCTAGAAGATAAAGGTCTCCATAAGGAACTAGGAGGAGTGCATATCCAAAAAATAAACTTTTCATGAGTTTTAGTTTTGATGTTCTCATATAACTCTTTGTATTGTTTTTATTAAAACTAATATTGACGCTATAAACAGAAGCGCATCTAGTGTAGTGGTATCATAGTACCCTCCCACGGTACTGACCGGGGTTCGATTCCCCGGATGCGCATTATTTGATGTACTTTATTTTGTAAAGTCAGTTCTGGGTTTTGGCCTTTGGGGCTTCCATGCGGTGTAAACTTCTCTTCTTTTATTGCTTGAAACTTCTGGATACATTTACGATAAGGGAAAAATAACTAGCGCTTTTATTTGTTTGAGCTTTTCATTTTTATAAGTCATCTATGAATCCATGTGTTTAGGCATCTATGAATTATGGCCTTTTATGTCTGCTGATAATATACCCCATTATATTCTCGATTGAGTTAAAGGGGGTTAAAGTTGTATCCACTTAATTAATGGTTGTGTTCTTTGGTGTGGATGAGGATGGGTGGTAACTATGGAATTCAGACAAATGCGATTTGGATGTGTATGAGTGGGTTCTCAAAATGATATTGCAATACTCAAGTCAATATATGAAAACCTGTGTAGAGAGAATAAGAATATGAGAAATGGTATTAGGTATTAAATTCCTTATGAAAGATTTTCTCTATTTATAGAGGAAATGGACATGAAATGTTTTCCCATAGATGATGTTGGTATGGTAGACCATCCTGTCCCATTTTGGCTTGCCTCAGACAAGTAGAGACTATTTTATTCGTGTCACACAATCCCTGAAAACCCGTATTCAGGTTGATACAGTGCTTTACCTAGAGCGGTCGTCTTGTCGCATGCTCTAGTTGTCATAGTCATACGTTATACATGTCTTCGCCACAAGGCAAAGGGTGGTGCAAGGTTCCAATGACGTGTTAAAATATATGGAAGAGGTTTGTATTGTTCACCAGTGTCACAATTTTGTAACAGAGGTTTGCATTGTTCAGGCGGCATGTCACTTGTGTAGCAGAGGTTTGCGGTTCCACACATTGCTGACTAGGCCTTGTCTGGTCAATTTTGTCCTTTATTTAGTTAGGTTGATAATCTAGACATGATCGACTATTACATAGACCAACCCCTATATGTCTGGCATTTGCCCGTGCTCAACTGATTTGGTCGGTCGAGACAAGTCCTCAAACTATGATTGAACATATTGTTGTGTCAAATAAAAGAAAAATTTACACCTCATATGTGTCCACACTGAATTGCTAAACAAAGTTATCGTAACTAGTATACCTGAAACCTTACTCACTAACCTTGCTAATACTTTTAATGGATGTGGCTAATACACCATTAAACAATATCATCCTATACAGTATTTAAATAATCATATTAACATGTGCTACATGAATCTTAACGTAAAGAATGTAAAAAATTGAGATAAAAATATACCTTTTCCCCATCCGGAAATGATCAATTATGCTCCTTACGTAGTTAACAACAAAATGTATTAGTATACCTTAAGAACATATTAAATGCTTGAAATCTTATGGGGGTATAAATATCCAACTAACTAGAGTTTTGGTAATATCGATGAAGGCATAGGTGGCATTGCAAATTGTTTAGGCTTTTTTGAGAGTTAATGATATGAATCAAAAGGTTAGGAAGAGAAGGAGAAATGAAGACCATTCTATTTTGTTTGGAAGTATGAAATTTAGATGGAGAAAGTAAACTAATGATAATGTTAGAATATTTTTATTTTTCCTTTAAAAAATATAATTAACAATAAGAAATGGACAATAAAATACAATTATATAATTTTATAAAAAATATTTAATTATTTTAACATTTTGTTTCTAGAAAAATCAAAAATTTAGGGAAATAAACACATGAAAAGTTTGAGAGGGTTTGAGAAATCCTCCTAATAAAATATCTAAAGTCATCTATTCATTTTTTCCCGCTTCTAAAGTCACCGAGAGAAACAAAACTTTAGGGACAGGTCATCATAGCTCCTAAATGCTTGTTCAAGTATGCATCATTTCATGCAGTGTTCCGTGGACCTTTGACTGTTCAGATAAAACGTGGTGCAACACATTTCTAGGTTTTCACTTTCCTTCTCCTTTCCCTGCCTCTCCATGTTTCCTCCACTTTTATTTATTTCCATTTTTTACTTCCACTACTTCTATAATTTCTCGAATGTCAAGGTTTTTATATTATTTTTCATATTCGAACTTATTTTATTATGTAAGCATTCTTTTTCACTCCTCTGTTCATTGAAAGAATTGAAAAGACAATGTGGACCATCACAATTTTTATGTTTCATTTTATTGGGGTGGGAAATGGGAATATAGACTATTGCAAAAGCACAATTCAATTGTTTCAATGACCAAAAAATTATGCAGACATTTAAGAAAATTAAAATAGAATACGCTCCTGTATTAAATGAGTAACCACTAGGGGTGGAAACAGGTTAGGTCAGACTTTGCCTTAAATATACACAGCCTATATAGCACATAGAAGTCTGGGTTTGGCCTGTTAGTCTGTTTAAAAAAAAATTTCAAAGCCTAGGTCTGCCCTGTTTAAAAGTCTAGCCTAGGCTGTTAGTCTGTTTAAAGGTCTGCTAAGGTAAAAAAAAATTAAAAAAATTATGTACAAACTAGAAAAATGTATTATAATTATAGTAATTAGTGTGAATTTTTTACATTGTTATCACAATTATTTTCATCATCTTCCAATGTTACATAATATATTTGAATGATTTGTGATGTCTTTGAGGTTAGAATATACAAAACAATGTCTTTTAATATCATAGTAAAATATGATATTATTCTAATATTTAACATGAGTTAGGTTATGTACTTAAGTTCAAGTCACAACAATTAAATATTCAATTATTAAATAGCTTAATCTCTAAGTCCTAGTGGATTTACATAATTTTTTTATTATTTAGTTTTTTGAACATGTTATAAAAATAATTTATAAATATATAATAACATTAATAGACCGATATGTTAGGCTTAATAGGCTTTTTAAAAGTCATGGACCTGACCTATTTCAGTTAAATAGGCTTTAAGCCTGACCTGTTTACTAAAAAGGTCTGGTCTGATCTGTCATAGGCCAGATAATAAGCCCCTAATAGGCAGCCTGACCTATTTCCAGTATTATTAGTAACCAGAACTTAATTTCATCTACCCTTTTAGTTAAAGGATACTATTATTTGATTAGGACACACATTCTTAACCAAGTGGCTTATAATTGAACACTATAAAAGGTTTTAAAACTCAATAATATTGAAATGTAATTTCACTTACACTCATATTATTAGGCAAATATTAATATACATTAGTATTTATTGTGAATAAGATTCGAACTCCCAACCTCATTTATTTAGCTTCAACATTTTACCCTAACCATCAAATCTCCTTATAACTCTCTTATTTAATTTATAATTTATTATATGTGATACTCAAACCCAATTCATTCAATTCCTTAAACCCATGATCATAAGTTTTATGACACCCAAAATATGATAGCCATTGTTAACACAGTGGCATAATTGAACATTTTAAAAAACAATAACAAAGAGTGTAGTGGGAAAAGGAAAGCACTATTCAAGATTTGATGCTTTATTATGTACAGCTTTGTATTCAGTACGGATATATACGGACAGCAAACGATCAGAGGTTGCTTCTGTAAGAGCTGCCATTAATTTGCATCCAAGAAGTACAATAATATGATTCTTTTTGTACGATTACAAAGAAATGGGATCTAAAAAATATGTTTTTAATGTGCAAATTAATATGGTGAATCTAATCAATATCACAATCCCTTCGAATTTGATTAGTTATTTAGTTTTATAAGCTTATTAATGAATCAAACGAGTTGAATGTGAACATAC